CCATTTTAAAGGATTCACTCAAATATCTTCGACACTGTGTTAAATCGAAAAATATTTCAAACGAAAGTTTTTTTTACTTCAAGGAGGAAATAAGATGCCATTGATTTGACCTTAGGTTGGCGTCGAGGTCAGAGCAAGAGGTCACTTTGAATTTTTTAAATGGAATTCCGATTTTTCATTTCATATTCTTATAGCTCAAGAGCTTTTCAGAACAGTATAATAAACTATTTTTTCATTAAATACTTTTCGAGTTATAAGGCTTGAAAGTTACAATACCATCGGCATTAGAAAGCATTATCTAAAGTGTCCGACCGATGAAGTCTCTTAAATGTTGTTTAGAATCATGACCTAAATAACATTTGTCAAGCTCAAGGCTGTTGGAGATTGTATCTCTTTTCATTTTTGCCCTAAAAATTCATTTTTACGTAAATATACTTTGGATAATGCTAATGCCAAAGATATTGAGACTTTCAAGCTTCATAATGCAAAAAGTATTTAATGACAAAATAATTTATTCAAAGTTATCTTACTCTGACCTCGACAACATCATCCAAGGTTAAATCAATGGTATTATTATATAACTGTATTATATCCTATTCGAAGCAAAAAACTTTTATCTTTTTTATCTGAAATATTTCTCGATTTAACGCAGGATTTCTGAGATATTTCTGAGATATTTAAGTGGATCCTTAAAAATGAGACACCGTACACACACATACACACACACACACACACACGCGCGCGCGCGCGCGCACACACGCACGCACACACACACACACACACACACACACACAGGGTGTTCTAAAACTAATGATAAATATTTTGTAGATACATTCTTTGTAATGTTTTAAGATGGAGAATCTAATATAGAAATATCGAGGCTGTAATAGTTCTTTTTTAAATAGGAAGAGTTTAAAAATTATGAATGACGGGATTAGAATTTTGCATGCCGAAAAATGGCAAAATGCTCAATGTGAAGATACTTCCTCGAACTTTATGTCTTTGACAATAACAAAATTCAACATTTTCACATCCATTGACCATATTGTCAATTCTGAGCGCGCAAAATTCTAGCCCCGTCATTCATAATTTTTTAACTATTCCTATTTGAAAACTCATAGTCATAGCCTTCACATTTTCGTATTAGACTTTTCGTTTTAAAATATTACAAAGAATCTGCCTTTAAAATATTTATCATCAGTTTTGGGACACTTTATATGTAATATTTATTTACGTACCACGAAATAAATCGAAATTATATGTAATCATATATGTATATAACAGTTTTTAATTTTTCCAATTAATTTTATTATACCTTTTCTTCGAAAAGGTTTTGAAATTTTACTCAAATAATATAATTTCATTCATCACTGCAATTACAATTAATTATCCCGCGCTACGCGTCTCGTTCGATTTGATTGGTTGCCATCGTTGCGCGCGAAATCTCGCAGAGTTTAATATGATATCGAGAAAACCAATGTTTCACGTTCTTAAAACAATTTTAAACAAATAAGAAAAAATTTTTAACAATTTCAAATATTAAATACAAGAAAAAACACATGGCCTATTTAAATGATTCATCGTGTCTTCAATTTATTGAGAATGCATTCTATTACTAATATTTATAATCCCATAACTCGAATTGAACTGTAATATAGGTTTGATCACAAATAATTATCGATAGTATGACTTTCCGTGAAGAAAAAATGTGTATCTTTATATAACGATATTCTCGTTAATATTTGAGATAGAGTCTTAATATTTACGATATGAAATAAAAATATGTGCAATTATTAATTAGGTAATATTACAAGGTATATGCCGCGCGGTGGCATATATGATGACCATAAATTGTAAACTTGTTGTTTCTTTGACAGTTTGAGAGTACACGGTGCAAAGTCTTGTTATCAGGGGACTTTTATTATCAAACTAACATCGCAGTCTGATTATCCACCACTTATCTCTCAGGGACTATCCCGAATGATTTTTTGATATTTATTAAAGTCAACGATTTTTAGACTGTAGCGAAAACACAATATTATGAGATAATAAGCTAGAAGAGTTGTGTTTAATTAATTTAAAAAGTTAAAGATTTTTAAGCCATTTAATTTTACAATGTCTTTTCAATTTTTAAAATTTTCAAACTTGCAAATCTCATTAATTTCTTTACACTTTACAGCTTGACGCGTTCGACTATTGCAACAATATACATTCTTAATATACAATAAAATAATATACATAAAATGTCGAAATGCCTGATCTTTTATGTCTCCTTCGTCGATGTAATTTATATGTATGTGCATACAATGGAAACAATTGTTACATAAATTACATAAATTATAATAATATTAATCACATTCGATTCTGTATGGGACATAGATTTTGGGCTGTGTGTTAATTCGAAATTCGCTCAGCCGCGGCCGATGTTAAAGAGTCTATAGTGCACATAATGTAAATTTAACTTATTATTGTATATAGATTTTCGGTGCTTGCAGTGAATTTTGGAATACAACCTTTTTACAATTGTCCCTGGAGCGCGAGCATACGTGATGAAAACATACGGGAAAACATACGCAACAGAAAGCGAGAATCGATATCGCGAGAGACAACAAGAGACTTTTGGGAAATGCACTTTTGCGTACTTTATTGCGAAAGCGAGTCTTTACCAAGCGATGCGAAATCGATTATTTCCCAGATGCCCATTTCGCCAGGGTGCCGTTCCAGGACGCTAATTATGAAGGTTGCTGCGGGAGACACAATGAAGATTGTGGCAGAAAACGTGTAAGAACGAAGGAGACTGACTAGTTTTTTCACTTTTACGTCTTTGACTATCGTTAGTTGACAACTTGTTGCGATGATCAGACAAACAGTCTCGCAGACCTTGCAGTCACTCGCAGCCGCCGGCGACTGACGATGACGGCGAACGCGACGTCGGCGACATGCGTTTATTGCGTTTACTCGTACAGCTGCTGATTCAGCAGCGCTCAACTGTCCCATCTAACTTAACCTAATATAACCTCACCTCGCCTCACCTCATTTCACCTGACCTCATCTCACCTCACCTCACCTAACTTCATCCCACCTCGCGCCGCGATTTGATTCGGTTCGAACGCAAGCCTTCAAATTCTGTGAGGTTTGTGTTCTTCTTAGTACATTCAACTTGTTGCACAGCTCATCTTTCTTTTTTTTTTTCTTTTAATTCACTTAATTGGAAAAAATAAAGGATGAACTGTGTCAAGCTAAAAAGATCAGACAGTTGCAATCAATCCAGTACCTAATTCCTTGTAATTGAGAATGAAATACAGGATTCAGATTTTCAGAAATTCGCATTCGAAATGTCAGCTTTTTCTGTGCATCATGAATACTGTTCAATTCAGAGTTCTGAATAGGAAATGCAATTTTTTAATTCAATTGAATCCAAAAAAAATTTTTGCTTTTATTTAATACGTATTCGGATAGATAAAATTTCTATCTATTTTAATCCATTCTCGTTTACTGCGGTAGGTACTGTTGGTAGCGCGCAATTTATATAAACGTATGTCGCAACTAGACACGTACATTATATATATTATGTATACACAGGACTGTCGATGCTTTTAATAATAGAAATAATAGAAATAAATTTAGACGCTTATGGGAACAATTAATAGATAGAGAAAAGCTCCATCCTGTTCTTTGAAGAAAGTTTGCAGTAAAATTGCAAAAAGGTAGCTAAACTTCTTGTACAGTTCATATTTTTTTTTCTTTTTCTTCAAGAGAGAGTAGAGAAAAAAAAGGAAAGAAAAAAATATTTAGCTAAACATGTATTCCGATGTGCGTGTAAATTAATTCAGATGTTTGTAGAAAAATGTAACGTGAGTTACAGCGCAAGAGTAGCAGGAAAATGGCACCTGTAGTTAATTCTTAATGGCAAATTATAATTTTACTTTTACTCACTTTTGATATTGATATTATGTTTTATATTATGTTGACAATATTCGATAATATTGATAAATGTCGTTTAAATATCATTTATTGATTGCGTTTTTCTTGATTTTTGATACTTGATACTTGATGCTGTCGCCCATTTAAAAATAAAGTGAGCAAGTCGATAATCGAAAGAGATTTATCGATGTGCGCGCGGGAAAATTCAGTTCGCCGTTGTTAACGGCGAAGAAAAAGAAGTAACAAATACACCAATAAATGTTGGAAATTTTTATCAAATATCGCATCTAATAACGTATCTAATAATCTTTATTAACACAAATTTATTATGCGCGTTAAAATGTTGAATTACACATAGATTTCGACTTGGCTGTGTCTCACAATTAAATTATAAATAAATGAAATAAGACGAATTTCGCGCTGATCACGCTGACCTATATAATATCTGTATCTCTGCTGAATTGAGTGGCGGACTCCGTAGGGAGATGTAGGTCGTCGAAAATGGATTTATATCTCTCGCACATAAGGTAGGTTTGTTACACGTCAAATTATTCAATCCTTGTGCTGAATTATATATCATCTAGAATGAGCTTAGGGTATACTCCCACTCCCACTCACCGATAGATATGAAAGAAAGAGAAAGAGAAAGAGAAGGAAAAGGAGAAGATGGGCCGAAACATGGAGGGAGAGATGAGAGAGCGCGAAGCGAACGGCGAAGGAGAGAAGTGAGAAGGACGGAAGGAAGTAGAGAGCGCGTGTCACAGCGTGTCGACGCGTTGGTTGCTCAGCTGTTTTCAACGAGACGTCGAGACTGGTCGAGAGTCGAGACTGTCGAGAGAGAGAGACGACGCATCGCGCAGACCGTAGACACCGTAGACACCGTAGACGGCATCACGGCACGGCAGAGCCAGAGCAAAGCGACCGACCAGTCAGCCGTCAACCGTCAGTCGTCAGCCGTTAACGGCGTCAGCCCGTCTCATCAGTCCTATCAGTTCCGACCGACTCATTGTCAGGTCAGATCGACTCAAACCTCAAAACTCAAGACCTCAGACGGCAGGCCTGTTCACAACATACCGACTCAGACTGATCCGTGGCCGTGACTCGAGACTCGACGCGAGAGCACTACATCCACGTCCAAACGCAAACAGATGTGGAGTGACTGTCCAGATCTCTGACATTGACGTATCTCGGCCACGAGTGGCCACGAGTGTCGAGCACGATATCTACTCTCCTTTGCGCTGAACGCGACAGCGAAGAAGAGGCGCGTGGTCGCCGTAGTGTAGATCACCATCCGAGCCAGTTCCGGATCCGAACCGGACGAGAAACAAATTACAGAGCGGGCGGAATATCGAGATCGAGGGGATAAAGAGCGATCGCCATGAGCGAGCTCAGCCAGGAAGAAGTGAGTAAAGGAAAGCGTGTTTCCTCCCCCTCCCTTCCTCTTTTTTCTCCTCTCCTCTCCTCTCCTCTCCTCTCCTCGTTGCATCGCATCGCGTCGCCTATCTTCCTCCTCATCCAGTGATCCTTTTTTCTCTCGCCCAATATTTTCTCTGCTTCGCGTTTTGTGTGTGTGTGTGTGTATGTGTGTGTATGTGTGTGTATTTCCCGCGCGTACTTATCCGCGATTTCTTGTCTCAAGCGAGACCTATGTTCTCGTGTCCATGCTGCGCGGCATTTTTCTCTCGTCGGAGATCTTTTCTCATCTTTTCCATCCACTTCTCTTCCCTCGAAAAATCATGAATTTATGTGTATTTTTTTTTTAATTTTGAGACGAGTCATGAAAGATAAGTCCATTGTTTGCGCAATTTCGAGAGAGACTTGGAAATTGTATTTTTCCTTGTTGGGTTATATATTGTTTTCTTTGTCAACCCCCCACGCGTAAAACGAAGCGACTCACAAGCTTGCAAAGAAACTACTTATATAATGAACGCTATGCAAATCAATCTTGCGTTTTAATTTAAAGAAAACTTGGCGCGGCATCTGTCAATATGGTTATTCTAATATTTAAATGATCCAAACATTCCAAACGCTTTGCAGGAATAATTGTTTACTATTTGATGATTCCTCTATTTTCATAATTGCGACGATAGAGTTCTGTTTGTTTCCTATTCACCTATCCTCTGTTCCTTATTATTTCCTTTCATCAACTAAACTGCTTCATTTACTTTGTTTTTAGCAAGATATTATGGCTGCAGAAATCTATGCAAATAATGAAATTATGATTTCTTAACAAATACATGATGTTCTATTTCATTCTTTAAGATCCGTATCTCAGAATAATATATACTCTGTTCAATAAGAAATTTACCACTCTTTTCGCATAGAAGGCAAATTATGGATTTTGAGATTATTTCATCTGCTTAATTTTTTAAACATCCGAGCCCGAGTATGCCATATCTATGTAGTAGGTATCTACAGTAAGGTATCTACATACTCCACTTTGTTTGCTATGCTACATCCTATGCGCAAAGAATGATAAACCTTATTGAAGAGGTTTACAAAGTATAATATCGAAAAAATGACATTTCTGTATTATTACATCGCTTAAAATATAATGTGGACTTTGCAGCTTCTATTCTCTTTATTGTCGCGAGGTATGGTAAACCAATGGATAAAAATAATTTATGAATAACAAAAACATTTCAGTCTGTTTTAAGCAATCTTTGATAGAGTAATCGTTACTAAAGAGAACTCACCACACAACTCCTTTGTCTCACTTTTGCTATAGATGAGAAGAAGGCGATTAGCCCGATTAGAGGGTTTCAACAATAATAATGCAACTGCCAGTTCGTCTAATGCTATTGCTCCGACTTCCCCGAGTACTTCGGAACTATCAAAAGCATTCCCAGGATCAATATCTCCGTCTATTCAACAACAATTACAGCGTGCTGAGATACCAATGGAAGTAGAAGAGAGCAACGATAAACAATGTAATATTACCGAAATGGATAATTCAGGAATTGAAAGCATGGAAGTTGATGAATCGGATAGGAAAGATTCAATACCACGATCGCGTGTAAGTATCTTTATATAAAGAAAAAAAAAGAAAAAGAAATATAACAAATGTACATGTATTAATAAAAAACAAAAAGAATCTATTTTTTTCTTCTAATATGATGAAAATGGATTATTCATTATTTTTATCTATATTTATCTCTGTTGCATTTTAGACGACGAGCTCTAGCATAGAAGTTACAACAGATCACATACATGTTGTCATATCACGCGTCTTGCGCATATCGTGGAAAAATTCCGTTGAAGGAACTATATTCTTACCACAAACAGCAGCGTACACGCTGAAACAGAAACAGCTAGATTTTAGTGAAATCATTAACCAGGCCTTAATGGAGATTTTGTGTATGTTTTCGAAAGGGGAAGATCTTTTGAACGATATCACGGTAGATATGTCGTCCGATCGACAGGACAGTCCGAATAACCAAGCAAGTCCTTTGCTAAGTCCTGTCATGGCTCTTCCATCTTACCAATTACCGACTATGCCATTACCCATAGGCAGCAAATCGTCGCAACCCAAAAGTTTAACTTACTTATTAAACTGCTATTCAAGAATCGCAATAGAGGAAAGAAATCATCCAAAGGTATAGGTATACATATTTTAAAAACCAGATAAGATTTTATTAAATCTATTGATTTCTTTGACTGACGCTTAGGCACATATTTTAGCGATCCAGCATACCTCCTCTCTCGAATGTACTGACAGTATTGAAAACGCAATGTGTTCAGTACTCTAGCCTTGTTCTACAAGGATTGGTTGGCATTTGTGAAGCTTCAGTTATTCCTATGTGTACCACTTATCTTCTCTACCCAATACTGTCGCAAAGTTTACCTCGAGGCTACCTTCACGAGCTCGTAGCTAAGACACACACGAATTCAAGCACGTTCAATAAGATATTCACCCCGGTCTTGCAAGGCCTGTATCTCTCAATGCAACAAGCGAGCTTGGTTGGCAATACACACAGAAGACCGATCGAGGCGCTAGAGGAACTAATAGAAATTCGCTGCGGTCCAGGCGGCAAAATACGTCCGATATGCCGTCTAATTACAAATCAAGTGCAATTCTTGCCCGATATTATGACGTCAGCTGCCGGCAGAGAACTTACGAAGACTTCGTTTTTGGGACCGTTTCTCTCAGTA